CACCCCTCTCCACCCCGCACCCGCCGCAGCCCCCGCGCGAGACACAACTTTTTGTTACATTAATGCAATTCCCAGCCTCCTGTAATTAACTAGTAGTTTAAACCCCGACATTGTTAATTGCTGCAATGTCTTGTTTATGTTTATTTGCAATTGATTTCAATTAGTTATTCGAGTTCCTACATATTTTGACATCATTGGTACATATGACGATTTTAAACCAAGACAACGACAGAAATATAATTTTGAATCAAACTCCTCTTAATTGATTATCAAGTCGTCAGAAAATGGTTGAAGATTGTAAAAGATATTGGTAAGAGTCTATGTCCCGTTTTACTCGACATTTAAAACAAATAACCAGAAACTCGACTCACTAAGGTGTATGGAGTGGATGAGATAGCGCCATCTATTGATTGTATTTTAAAGTAATATTAAACATTTTGGATCTTTGAAGTAATTCAGTAGCATTGAAAGTAAATAAACTCTTACTTTACTCAAAACACTTGTTTATTTATGAATTATATATCATAAAAGCATTATCCTCATTGTCAGTCGGGTAAAAAACAATCTCCTAATTATCACGCTCGGCTGCCTTATAACTCTTTGCATGAACACAAAATAAATGTTTTTCCATTTAACATCACACTGTTTTAAGGTCGCGTAACTCAGAACAGAGCTTAATTTAAGAGAAAAGTGCACTTCAGGCTTGAAGTGTTACATCAACATGGAAGTGTCGAGCGTAACTAGTTAGAAAAGTGAATATCGCCGTCGAATGAGCGCACCAACACTCGGCCGCGACAACAACTACCAAACCCCCCGCACCCGCCGCACCCCCCGCAATTGTTAACTAAAATTCAAATATGTAAAACGGTTTTCAGTCGACGAACAACGAACGCTTTGCGCATTTTTATTTCGTGCAATTTTCTTATGGTTTATATCACACTAAAACGTACTCTGTAAATATGAAAAGTTCAAAAATCACAGTTACACACACTGACAAACATAATTTATACATATTAAGTTATCTATTTACTGAGATATTATAAACTAGATTGTATTGTTAAATTTCGCGCTGTTTGTTTTGCTCTGGTGCAATCGCGGCCTGGCTGGTCGAAGCTGTGATGTGAAGCAGCTAAGCGATATCATTATGTTCTGTTTGAACAATACAATTGTAATACGAACGCGATTCGAAATCGAAAAACGAGTTCCGCACCGCATTCGCGTAGTACACATATGTGAACGTTCTGAGGAAATATAACATGGCAAGAATTAGTCTACTCGTTTGTTGCGAAAACCTCATCGTTGGATAAAAATCCAACTGTAACAAATGAATGTTGTTCTCCTCCATTACACGCACGCTATCGACAGTTTATTTAATTAATTCAAAGCTGAATATTTATTGAAAAGCAATACTGATCGAAGCCAACTAAATTATGAGGTCACAAGAAATCAGTTGTAAAGTGGAAATTAAACGTTAATGTTCAATTTCCTCGGAAGCCGAATTCAATCAGCTCGGTAACCGCTGCGGCCTACCCGCCTGCTACCCGCCTGCTATCCGCCCGCTACCCGCCCGGTGTTCACCCGTTTGAATACTTATCAACGCTTTTGTAACACGGTGATTACATAACAAACAGACAAACAGTCAGAGTCGGTGCATTCATGAAACACAAACACGTAGCGACAGTAAACAGAATGCCTGCATCCCCCGCGGCCGCTACACCTTGTCACTTCGTGACTCTGTTGTTCACAAAACAAACATTTCGTTTTCATTCTGTACACAATGAATTGCTTGTTTGCAGATTAAAATGGACAATTTACAGTCGGATTTTATGTTCCTACTAAGTATTGAATATTTACACACAACGAAATATATTTAATATGATAATTTGAAGATATCTGTGAATTTCCGGGAGAAAAAAAAGCGGCGCGCAACCTTCCTGTTCCATCTCCCACAAGGGCAGAAGTAAAGTAGCTAGTGGTTTGCAGAAGTAGGTTTCGCCACATCAGATGGAGGTCCGTGGTCTCTGTTTATCCTTTTGAGTTACACGTAGGAGTTGTGATTGTTTGTTTATTTGTTTGTAATATCGTAGGTACCATAAGAGCTGGAAAGAAGCTAGTTCTTTCAGTTTGACAATAATAAGACAAGAAGTATTATTGATGTGTCAGTGCTGAAGTTTGTACTCGTATGTAACAAATAGAATGTGTTCAAGGAGTTTGTTCGCGTTGTCGTAGACGAGACGATGATATATCAGCGTTAAGCTACAACGATACGTGTTGTTTGTTGGATTACACTGTGCAACTAGTGACGTTCTGAGTTTACGAACTCAGTTCCGCGAAGACATGATTCGTATGTTTACATTTTGTAATGGCTTTATTACATATTTAGATTTGTTTAAATCTCTGAATACTTATAATAAAATAGAATTCATCCCCTTTAAGTAGCTACTATTAAAATAAATTTAATTCAGTACTTAAACTTTTTATTAAATTTAATATTTTTTATCAAATTCGATGATGATAAGAAGAAAATGAACAAAATTTAATTAACATCTTATCCTTCAGTTGAAGGCGACATTTTAATAAAGAACAAGAGTTTC